ATGTTTCCCTTTCCCCTTCCTCCCCCTCTTTCCCGCCCCTGCCTCCTTCACTCCCTTCTACTCGAAAATCAGTGGGAAAGATACCTTCGGATGAGGATTAACCAAAAATAAATAAATGAATGAATGAGGATTAACCAATAAATGAATGAATGAATGAATGAATGAGGATTAACCAATAACTGAATGAATGAATGAAAGAAAGAAAGAAAGAAGAAAGAGAGAGAGAAAAGGAAGGGAAAGGAAAGAAGGAGGGAAGGAGGGAAGAAGGGAGGGAGGAACGAACGAAAGAAAGCAAGAAAGAAAGAAAGGGAAAAATGGTCAAGAAGACTGACTTGGCCGGGGGTGTGACATGAGGTAAAGGGGAAAGTTGCGGAATAACCACAGGTTTTTCTGCTTGGGTAACTTTGTGGTTGTTGAGCTCATTAACTAAGCTAAGGAATACATAGGATGGAACACAGAAAAGATGGTGAATGCTGTACAGAAACAGTAAGTCCATGTCTGAAACACGTTTTCTCCCCCTCTGCCCTTATAGTTCCTAAGAGATGTAACTGAACTGCAGATCCTTGGTGAAATTTCTTTCAACAAATCTCTGTATGAGGGTCTGAATGCAGAGAACCACAGAACTAAGGTAAGCCCTGTCTTCGGGGTGGTGTCCTAGGAGAGCTGCTCAGCCTTCGTGCACTCTGCTGTGGCCCTGTTCTTGTTTTCAGTCTTATCACCTCTGATCTTGACTCTGCCACCAACTGTCTCTGTGACCTTGAGCTAGTCAGCTTTCTGCCTCAATTTTTCCATCTGTGAAATGAGGCAATTACATAAGGGGCTTAAGCTGAGGATGTCTAAACTGAAATAACTAAGCTGGAACCATAAGCTACATATGCTTTGATTTGAAAAGGTATTTAAAATTTTTTTCCCAAAGTGAGAAATTATTGTTTGTATGCATGAGCTCTCTAGTGTGTGGTGTCAGAGTTTAATTATAATATTAACCAGTTACAGTACTCAGAGTGCGTACTTCTTTGAGAGGCCTTAGACTCAGTGCTGGAGCTCCTGGGGTTTGTTTTGCTGAAGTCTGACCACAGGTCAAATGGATGGCTGTGATCTGTGGGCCAAATGGAGTGCGTGCTCCCCTGAGCTGTCATTCTTGTTGACACTCACCTAGATGTGCTGCTGGCTTTCGAGATGCTCCATCTGTGAGCTCTGTAGTTAGGCACGATTCATTAATAGAAGGAATGTTAAGAGAGTGAGACTGGATTGCTAGATATTGGGTCCCCTGATTTTCTTTCTGGAGGAGGACGAGAAAGGAACAGTTACGTGTCAGGAATAACATTTCCCTTTATTTTTAGGCATTTCTAGTACAGAAAATGATACAAAGAAAGAGAAGTGCCCTGTTATCCCACTGCCCAGATTTTTAAAAAATCCAATAATGCTTAGAAGAAAATCCAAGCCTTATAGAAAATACCAAATGAAAAATGATGGTTCCTTTACTTCTCCTCTTCCCACACCCCAACTTCCTATTCCCAAAGGGAGGTTATGTAACAATTTTTGCTATGCATATTCTTAAATTATTTAGGTACTTCCTCCTCTTACTGATATTTTTATTCTACAGTATAGATTCCTTATAATTATTTTCTTTAAATTTGATATCGTAAGCAAAGTATTAAGTAGTTCCTGACAACAAGCACCTGACTTACAGTAAATCTATGTGTATAAGTAGCAGTATATCCAAGTGCATGTCAGCTGCGGGTACCATAAAAGGAGGGAGGCAGACCAGGGTCAGTGGTCTGGTTCCTTTGTCTCATTGGCAAAGGGGGCAACTAGTCTTTGTCTTGATTAGATTAGACTAGTCATGGTTCTGAACAAAATCTGGAAGGAGAGAATGGCTGTGGAGGAGGCCCCCATCGGCATTTGCTACAAGCAGTGGTGTCCTGTGTCCTGCTTCTCCCTTCGCCTCCACGGGCAGCCCTGGGGCACTTTGCAAACCTGTGGCTTTGGGCGAGGAAAAGGGAAGAGACTTTGAGAAATAGGAGCGTTTCTTCCCCTCAGGTCTGGTCTGGTGAACCACTGTCACCTTGGGGCTCCTTTCATCACTTTCCTTGTCCTTCCCCCTTCGCTTCCACAGAAGGAAAAACAAGCTCCCTTCTTGGTCTTCCTCCCTCTCTGTTGCTTTGCTCCCCCCTCACTGTCAAGGCCTAGAACCTCATCCTTGTAAGGCGGGCTGTGTAAATAGTGCCTGGAGGGTCAACCCTAGGAAGTAACCACCGTCTGTAGCTCAATAGGAAGAGGCCTCACAGATAAATTGGTCCGGCCTTCCACCCCATACAGAATTTCCCTCCGAAGCATTGTTGACCTGGTGCTTAAACATTTGTGTGAAAGGAGCTCACTGTTTTGGGCAGGCAAAGCTGTTTTTTTTTTTCCTGTTTGTCTGTTTGTTTTATATGGTTTTTAAAAAATTTATTTTAGAGGGAGAGAGAGAGAGACATCAGTCTGTTGCCTCCATCCGTGCCCTGACCGATAATGGAACCCGCAGCCTTTCGGTGCATGGCATGTTGCTCCAAACAACCGAGCTACCTGGCTGGGGCCCGGCAGAGAAGCTTGGCTGGCCCTTGGGCCCCACTCAAGTCCTGGGACCATGATGTGTGGTGTGCATGCTGGCCACACTTGGGACGT